CTATATAGCCTGAGTAGCTTAAGTGGAAAATTTTCAATGATTAGCAACATTTTACGTTTTTCTTTTTCTGCGTTTTTTTAATGTCTTTTTAATTTCTTGCATATTATATTAAAATTGATTTAACATACATATTTATCTACACAGAGGAATTATGCAAAGTTAAAAAAGTTGTACCTTGAGATTAACGCGACAATGTTTAACATAAAATGAATTGAGACTCCAGATAGAGATTCGTGCAATAGAGATTCGCACATTACATCACTTCGCATCATTAATAAAATTAGAAAGGATTGATTTTGCTAGATCGGTCGTGAATCTAAGCTACGGATCGTGCGTGCCTTTTCGCACGTTTCCCGGTGCTACTTGATAATGCCTGGCTCGGCCTGGTGCACCTACACGTGAATACACGCACACGCATAGGTGCGTCCGGCACGTCGAATTACGGTCGTGTATCCGGACCTACGACCCCTCGGCTCTCTCTTTTACTAATCCTCTGTCGCGGAACGGAAAGTTATTTTAAATTGAGAAGAGAGCTTCCGTCTTCCTCCTCATCAACGAAATAAAAAATGGGAAAAATCAGAAAGTAAAAAATAGAAGTTAAAAAAATAGAAGAAAGCTAATAAATGAGAGGAAAGGTAAATATGCAGTAAAAAATGGCGAATGTACATTTATCTAAAATAAGAAAAGAAAGAGTATAACGTGTGTGTGTGTGTGTGTGTGTGTGTGTGTGTGTGTGTGTGTGTGTGTGTATGGTTATAAAAAATATCTGGAATTTTTCTAATATGCTGCGAGAAGAGAAAGTAACAAAAAATAGAATTGCACAGAAAGAACGCTGTTATGTTGAAGAATCCAGCTAAAAATTTAGCCAGATATAGATCTGAAAATAATTTCGTTCGAGTATCTAAATAATTATGTATGTATAGAACATTCAAGCTGGTAGCAATCAGCTTGCTACTCAGTTGACATCAATTAAAAGTAACATATATAACATTTGTATCTGTAATATGATAACTGTTATATGATGCCATGTATTATATTCAGGGTTTTGGATAGTGCTAAGTTGAAAAAAGATAAAAGTTAAGTTAGAAAGTTAAAAAGTTAATTAATTTTAACTTAATTTAGTTACATTTTAGACTCTTAACTTTTTAACTTAATTTAGTTACATTTAGTTTTTATCAGTAACTATTAACTTTTAATTTGAATTTTTTCAAGTCAATCCTTAGATACGAGAGGCTAATGAGTATATAATTTTATATTATATAACTTGTGCAAAACAACCAGATTCTTTAATAAGTTGTAAGAAAGGAAAAATACGAAAAATTATGTAAAATAGTCGAATTTCTTTTTTTTTTGGTTGTTCGTTTGAATCAAATTTAACTTTTTAATTACTTTTTTTATTAACTTAACTTTTAATTTAATCAATTTTATTATGGATTAACTTATATTTTAATTAAGTTAAATCTTCAAGGTTATTAACTTTAATTTAATTTAGTTAAAAAAAAAAGTTTACTTACCCAACCCTGATTATATTACATTTATATTGTTGAGTGCGAAATTATATCATATAAATATTATATTTCTTTTGCTCGATTGAGTAGAATATAAAAATTTTACAGCATTGCTCATTATGACCTGAGTTTCCTATTAGGTGTTGGAATTAATTCGTAGCGTTTTACAAGTGATGGGAAGTACTTTCATTAATGTATTTTTTAATGCTCATGTGAAATAAATAACATTCTTTCATTAAAAAACGCTACGAATTAATTCCAACACCTAATACATAATTATTTTGATGGTTCAATGAAATTATTTTCAAATTAATATACTTAAAGTTTTAGATATTGCAGCAAAATTTTTCATGGAAGCTTTATGGAAGATTATAATATCTTATTATCGCCAATCAACTCCATATCATCGAGACATCTATGTAAATGTATGTCTAAAACATACATTTTAATTACTGTGCATTTATTAAGATCGATGAAAAATCTAAGAAACAAAAGGATATATTTTTTATATTTGTCTCCAATGAGATTCGTCTTCCAATCCAAAAGGAACACACAAAAAGAACAATAAAAAATTAACCGACTTTATTTGGATTTTTAACATCAATAAGCAGTCAAATTTTCGAACCAAAAATCATCATTCTGCATTTTATATCAGAATGATGTCAAAATAAAGTCATTTTGATTTTCTCTTGATTTGTGTTCCTTTAGATGGACGTGACGCACAATGCTCGATAAGCAAAAATTTTTGCCTCGCGCGCATCCGTTCGTGTCGAAATTTCGATTTGGTAATCTTGAGGAAACAACTGTGAGAAATTTACGGATAAGCGCGAATTTCTGACTAACCTCGTGATGATTAATCAACATTTCAAAGAAATCGGCAATTAATGCGCTCACGCGCGTCGTATTGTCACATTGATTTTTATTGAGTCGATCGAGATTTTATCATCGGACTAAGTTTCTCTCTCGGCAAATGCACCCCTCGTGATTTATTCGCAAACATGAAATTAGTCCAAGGATGAAACACTTATATTTATCGGCGGCTCTTTTAACTGGTTAACGAAAGAGAAGTAATTTTTCTCGTCGCGAACATATTTCTCTCATTTGCCTCACGCAATATTGACGCTATTGCGCAAATTATACGCCTCCGAAGATTTTTTTAGGTATATAACGACACGCAAAATTATTGAGTATCTTACGACTTGCGTCTGAAATTTCGCAAATGCTCGACGTCACAGAGAAAAAGATAATTATACAAGTTTTGTGTGTAAAATTAATATACATAGTTGAATAAACTTTCTTATAGTTAATGCAATTATATAATAAAATAGGTTATTCAATTATATATGTGTGTGTGTGCAATTAATTGTACATATAAAATTTGTGTAATTGCCATCACTACACCGAAAGAAAAGATTGGCTGCTGCAGGAAATTAGATGGTAAAATATAGCATAGCATTTTTAATTGGCAGCAGCCAATTTTTTGTTGCAGCAGCTAATTTTTGATTGTGTTAGCCTATCCACGATGTCAGTATAGAATTTCGATAGGCTAACGCAACCAAAAATTGGCTGCTGTAACCAATTAAAAATGCTATACCATATTACCATCTATAATTTGCTGCAGCAGCCAATCTTTTCAATGTATGTCTTTTTCTCTGCAACGACTAACGATACTTACGAAATTTTAGACATAAATCATCTTTATAATTACTACACCATGATATCGTATTTCTCTAAGTGTGGACTGCGCGAATAAAAAAAACCGCGCAAGTTTCGTGATGTTGAGAACACAATTATTTGTTACACGATTGATGAATAAACAGAGATGATTAAATCTGATTAAGTCTGATTAAGTCTGATGATTAAATTGTCATAGACGATAATTTCATGCTGAACTGTCATGCTAAAGTGCATTTGGTTGTACATGGATCAAGTCACGTATTAATTTTTGCAACGAGACTAGCAATTATTTTATAAAATAAAAGTTATGTAGAAAACTGAATAGAATTATTATCTTAAATATATGTTTTCTATAAAACGTAAATTTAAAATACAATACGTATTTCGCTTTTTAGGAAATACAAAAAATTTATTGGAAACATACGTTTATGGCTTGTTGCAAAAAGCAGGACACCATCTCGAGGTACTCGACCAGTGTCGTTTTTCATAAACTATATACGAGACAGTTCGGAGAATTTCGAGAAAAGATCACGCACGTGCACATATGTATGCACATGCACGTAAAGGAATTATTCGTTTTTTTATCATTTTTAATATATGCCACAGGCAATCTCCAGGCAGGAAGCGCCTGATGAAATTTAATAACGAGTTTGCCAGCTTCTTAAGTTGCCTTTTTAGCATTCGGATCATAAATCGCGGAATATAAATGATGATAATTACATATTCTGCTCGTGTGATACTTGCTCATGTAATCTTAAGATAGTTCTTTATATCTTTATTTTTTATATCTTATGTATCGTACCAAACCGATAATAATCCTGATAAAATAAATTCTTATATCATCTCATAATATTTTGAAGAATAGATATTTTGTCATATTTGAAATTTATGAAGATTTCTAAAAAAGAATGTCTTAAACTTTTTCAAGTTTTAAGTCTTGAAACATTTCAGAATTCACATATAAAAGTAAAAAAGATATCAATTTTCTAAGCACTTCTTGAAAGTTTGTAGTTTGTATAAAAAAATCTGAGATATTTTCTAAAAAGTTTTAAGTTATACAAAGATTCTGAGAAGTTCTGAAATTTACATAAGAATTCTGAAAAATTATATGAAGAATTTTAAGAAAAATTTTCACCAGAAAATCGACATAATAATTAAAGTAAAAGACATGTATACGATGTAATATTTTATATATAAGTTCTTCAATTCGTTTTAGAACGAGATACAGATGAATCTATATAGACGTTGATCATGATTGCTTATATTAGCAATGAACATTCCCAGGCGCCTTCAATCTTGACGATTTTATTTGACTTTGACGTCACGGCACACGCATAAATCAACGCTAAGTGATGCGCGCTACCAGATTATCTAACACAGTTGCACGTGACGAAAATTGTCCCGGTCGTTGATATCGCGATATCGCACGTATCTTGCAAAAAATTGTGTTAAGTTTATCAGCGATAACAATAAACGAGAAGAGATCTGACATCATTAAATTTAAACTGTGTATATAGTGATAGAAATTTTTACAGTTTTTATATATTTCATTTTTTCAATTTCTTAATTTATTTTTTATTACAATTTATTAATTGGCTGTAGAATATTTGAATAAAAATATTCTTGATTATTTGTTGCAAATCTTTAGTATCTACTTTCTTTAATTTTGATGTTTAATAAATTAGTTTTTATTTCTTGAGTTAATGATTTACTTTTTACTTCTATCACTTTTATTATAATTCTCTTCAATTGACTTATTCATGAAACTGTTTCAAAATCAGGAGATTAAGATTTATTGAATCTGTAATTTTGCAGGATCCTCTTTTACACAACACAGCCCGCACATGTAATCATGATCGCCGCAGTCTTATTCGTTACATCGGTTCTTTTCCCAATCAAAGAACGAGTACAAAATTCTAATCATTCTTACTCAAGAATGATGTCCTTTATTTATCTCACATCCTTCGTTATACACTTTGGTGCTCAAATTTGGATGACTTTTGTATCTGGTACGTATATAATTAAAAAAATATATTGAATATATTTTTAATAAAGCGATATATAAAAGGAAATCTCGTGATCTACTTTTCTAATTGATTTAAATTGACTTTCTTTGAAATAATAGCTATATCATTTATTCGCAGGTCTGTCTTTATATTTTGCACTGCCACGACATGCATTCGGCGAAGTGCAGCGCGTTCTATTTCCAAGATACTTTACGATTAATGCGTGTTTAAGTCTTATCACGCTCCTCATATTTGTCAAGCATCATCCGACGCATACATGGGACTCTGAAATTGCTGTTCAGGTATATAAATAATGTCTTAAAATATTTAAAAGATACTTTAATTTAATTAGATATAATTTAATTTTTTCTGAAACGCGTAAATAATTCGTTTTCTTAAATAAAAATAAATTAATTTAATTAATAAATTTGATAAATTCTCAGAAAAGTAAAAGTGAAATTTGTATTACATGCAGGTTGGCGCAATGTCCGGAGCCTTTTTTCTAGAATTACTGATACGCCTCTATCTAACACCTCCGCTTCTTCAGCTGATTGTGCAGAAGAATAACTTCGAACGTGCTGCAGGCGTTGGCAACGAGATAGGCCGTCACAATCCTGGACCGCTTAAAAATTGTATACATTACATGAAGATTCACCGAGCGTTTCGTCGAGTACATGTATGCATAGCTATGGGAAACATGCTCACTATGGCATGCACGGTACTTCATCTCTATTATATAGCGAGCAAATTATGCGCTTTGTAAGAATAATTTTAATCATAAAATTTATATATGCATTTTTTTCGTGAGCTCAAGAAAGTTCTCGAAAAGAATATAGAATCTAGAAAATAATTTTGAGAAAAGCGTTGGTAGTAAGTACGTTAGTATATGTCGTATGATAACGAAAGTTTAAATGCACCGGAATATTCAAACCTAGTGCAAGATGTGATTTTTCCTGCCATTAAAATTAATTGCAAAAGACTGTATAATGAGTCTTTCAGTGCAACTGCCTTGAATTTTAAACCTCGAATATATCGAGATATATTGGTGTACCTTGTACTCAGTAATCTGAACTTACTCTATGTTAAAATAGAGCAAGTATTCAGAAGACTATAATAGGTTTTATTTGCATAATGTAAGTCACACCGACTTATCCTCAGAACGCTAGCCAATTCAGAAGAGAATCAAGCTGAAGCGAAGGTAAAAGACCAGTTTTAATACTTCTCATAAATATGATCTGCTTATAATTCGTAGTGCTGTATAAATTATTGCTGAAAGTAGTGCGAAACGCGTGCATGTAATTTGCGAGAATGTCTAGAGATTGAGTGGACATAATTTATTCATCAGCACGAAGCGATCGAAGTTTTTATGTAAATAATATATATCTCATACGAAACTATATCGATTCATTTGTATCTGTGTATGACTTAAAATAGATATAAAATATTTTTATACATGTAATTTATATAAGCTTTAAGGCATGAATTCTTGCCAAAGCATATTTCTTTTATTATATCGGCGAGAATAATTAAATTCTTGCGCTAAAAATGTATTAATAATTAGATCAAAGTATCTTATTTGTGATAGAAAGTCGCGACTTGCTGCTTAATAACACTTCAAATTTTTTTGAAAAAAGAATATTGAATTATTACGCGATTTTAAAATAATTATTACATTGGATGCAATAAAAATATATTTACTCTGTATCAGAGTCAATGATATTTATTGAAATTGCACATTTAAAAAAAATCGTATAGATATAAATGTAGTAGTGATATGAACTGAAGGAATAAATCACTTTATATATCGAGTGAATTATAGGCTCATACATACACGGAGCTCATTACTGTAAATAACTGCATTCTATTCATTTAACATTTGTAAATTATGATATCTCATATAACAATATATGAGTATATAACTTTTTTTTATAATTTTTAGTCTATTAATTATTGATATACCTTCCCATAAATATCAACTCTAATCGAATATGTTTATGTAATACATCTTAAATTGTGAATGAATATTATATGATATAAATTAAATTAGGGAGTTTAATATTCCTATCAATGACAATATAATCGTCGAGTATACAGTATGTTCGCACGATGTCATTGTATGACATAATAACTTCACATATAAAAAATTTACACTTATATAAAAATCTGTACATTACATACTAATAATTGCAATTACACGATCACATTTTATGAATTAATTAACGCTACAATCTAATGATCCAATCTGATTGCTCTAATAATAGTAAAATGATTTTTTCCTATATCTAACTATATATAATTAAGAGTGACATTTAAAATGACTGATGCATAATTAATTACATATAATGATTTAAGTATTCGTAACTGAGAAACCTTAATACTGAGCAATTTCCAACAAGAGATACCGTGAATCTTTTCATTCTTGTTTAATATTGATAAATAACAAGAAATAATTCACTATGTTACACTGTGTCATCTGTGTCTTTTGTTGAAAAAAAATGTTCACTATTATGTTTATAATATTTCTATAAACATATGTACAATTGTGAAACGCATTAAATAAAATGTTTTATAGTTATCGTTTCCAGAACAAGCTATATACGTCTATAGTATATTAATAATAAAAAAATTCTAATAGCAATTCTCGAACATCGAGATGAAATAAATGCGTTTCAGTAAAGAATACAATTATACTCGAAGAATCTCTGCCGCTTTATTGTAACAAATGGCTATCCAATCGGGTTGCGTGGCACCCCATTGAATTTGATTAACCTCGCCTTCTGCGGCGGTATAAGCGAGTATAGGATCCTCTATTGCTCTTGGCATTTGCTGTATATCCCAGATTAAAGCCTGATGATCATCACCGGCTGTGCAAATGTGACAGGATGAATGCGGGGCCCAGGCTATTCCATTAACACTGGCCCTGTAAAATTAAAAGGAAACAAATTAGTCAAAGAAATTTCTTAATTTTCCAAAGTTGACATGATCAAAATAGATCAGAATCTACTAGATCCATTTAATTATAGTCTTCCTACTTAATATAATTACTTTAATTATAATCTTCGGAGTTGATTGTAAATCTATTGGATTCACTATGCACTGTTTGGATAATACATATTTTATGAGCAAAAATAATTCAGCTTTTTTTGTGAAGTGATGTTAAGATAAAAAATACATTATATTTAAATTTACTACTATTATGTAGTTCTCTTAATTCTTGTATCTATTACTATAGCAATTTTGCTGTTTTATATAAAAATGTTAAATAATTCAATTTGCTTTTTGTTACATCTGCAAATTTAGATTATTTTTATAAAAATAAACACTCAGCTTATACTTTTTATTATACGAGTTATATTATTTAAGTGCTGAAATTAATTAGTGCCTTTTAATCAACATACATTAAATGGACCTCGCAGTCAGTATCAGTAACTGTGTTAGATTTTGACGTTAGCTTCGGAGAAAAGAAACTCAATATTACAAATATTTCTAGCGTTGTAATATTAACTTGTACGTTATATTTCGTATATATAAATAATAATATTATAAATCATTTTATATTGACCTGTGATTATTCAATCTTGCAACTGGCGTGCACGGTACTCGAACGTCCAGAATGATGACTTCGCAAGCGTCCATCGCTACAGTAGCGAGATAATTAGGATCTTGCTTGTTCCACGCTAATCGTAACAGCGGAGTGTGTTGGGGATCCTCATAGATAATTGTCGAATGCTCCAAGTGTCGTAGATCAAACATCCTCACAGATCCATCAGCACCGACAGAGGCGAACATGTCGCGGCCACCTCCGGCACGACTGAACGCAATATCATATACTTCCTTGTCATGTGCAATCAATTGCGTTTTCACGTGACCGGTGACCACGTTTGAGATTCGATTTATAAGTTGTCCTGTCTCTAGTCCCCAAATTGTACAGGTGGTATCGATGCTGGAAGTTCCAATTAGATTGGGATCCACCTCATTCCAGTCGAAAGACGTAAGCGGTGCACAGAAATCTGAGTTCTTATTATTATTCAGAACACACTCCAAACGAGTCTCAGGTTCTGCAGCACGCCATACTCTCAGATAATCACCGGATGTGGCAAGAAGATCAGGAAGTTGACCTGATAAGAATTTTATTTATTAAGTAGTGCAGTAGTTACTTTATAATTAAATCACTTTGAAATTTCATAATATTAGTTTAACCATCTGACTGTTCATCTGCAAAATTTCTCAGAAACGACTTAACTTTTTCAAATTCTGTTTATAGATATGCAATAGATATCTAAGAACTTTAGTCTATCAAGCAAAATATAAATCAAATCAGTTGCTTACAAGGAGATAAGAAGATTAAAGATCAATGAAATTCTTCTAGTAGTTATAGATTTTTCGCTGCACAGTTATATTTTTAGTTACATCCATTGCAAAAAATTTATTTGACAAGAAAAAAAAATTGACAAGAAAATTCACAAGAAAATTGAATATATATATATATATAAGTACCTTTGCTGTCAGGGATCCACATAATTTTTGTAGTAGGATAAGGATGGTCAAATGTACTTTTAGCACTGAATTCAGATGTTTCTTCATCTAGTGAAACAATTTGTACTTTGTTATTGTACTCCTCTACAAAGCTTCCCAGAGCTAGACGAAATCTCTTGTCGGGCCTCACCGACCAGTTCATGCTGTACAATGGCCATGGTGCCTCGTACTTGTAGATTTCTTTTCGTTTTGGTGGTATGGTATGCATAGCCATGATGCCCTGATATTCCTGCTTGTGTGGATCGAATATCATTTGACATTAATTTAACAGAAATATTTTAATAAAAAAGAAACCTATATTCTTTCATAGAAAGAAAAATATAAAATGTAGTGTAATAATACAAATTCAATTTGCTTATTCTTAAGAGATAGAAGAAAAATAACAGCAAAGCCAATTGACAAGCAATATAAGAATAAAAAAATATAATTTATATATAAATTTATTAATGCAAATTAAAATGTTAATACAATTGATGAAAAAATGTATCTACTAACCTAATAATTGTATATTCCACGAAGATGACCACCACGAATAATCTGACTGTCAAGAAATTAAATCTTTATGACCATCATATCACTAGGAAAAATAAGATCATACAAACATAAAGAATCCACATATACGCTGCATCTACAATAAAAATCACTGAAGGTCGAATAAAGAAAGTTGTTCGGTAACGTAGTTAATAGCTGTAGCTAATATTCCGAAAATAAAATGATGTCCTTTCAGATATCACGAACGAAAACGACTGTGAAATCTTCTAAATTCTTTCTCGAATTAGTTACAGTTTTCTCTATTTACGAAAAATGTACCGAATTTCATAAATACGATGTTTTACAGTGTTTCATAAACAATACGATCTACGACACTGTCGCTGTTGGTCACTATGACCAATGTAGCCAACTGTGGTAGTGTGCAATGTGCAATAATATGCATTCTATGGGATACATCATGGTGGAAACAGGGAGAAATCTGAGAAAGACCATGCCGGCTTTTTTTTCTATTGTATTAAACTGACACGAATCCCATTTACTTTCGACGATACAATTTCATCGATAGTGTCAGAAAATGTATGTAGTCATGTAATTCCCAAACTGAAAATGAATATAAGTAGTGTACGGGCGATTTTGACAGTAACAGGAGAAAAGCCGGCATGTGGAGCTTCTCTCAGGTTTTTCTCTGATAGAGTGTTTTCCATTTAATATTTAATGACAAGTGTCGTTCTATCTTCGTCACTCTAAATGTCAAGAAGAACAGAACGACACTTGTGTCGACTTGTGTCATCAAATGAAAAGTATCTATAATCGATTATTCCTCTCACATTTGATTGTGATTGCTCAATTTCTTAAGGCTTAAGGCTTATGGATGTATGTTTATCAATTGTCCACATCACTGATGGGATAATTTAAAATAATATTGGGTCATCTAAAAAGTATCCGCGGTTTTTTGT